AGCTTTCCTAATAGAGGTAAAGTCTGGGTGCATCCCATTGGACTTTGTGCCTACGGGATAGGTCTTTGTAAGTGAAAGTACTTCTGCCATAAGTGCATCAAGTTCACTTGAACCTAAAGCCTGCAAACAAAACCTTTCTATAGCAAAAAGTGCATAACATAGATTGTATACCTGTGCCAGTGCGTGAAATGTGCAGGGGCGGGACATGGAGGTGACCATTCAGAGGGGCAGGACTGGGCTGCTGGAGATAAATGGAGCTGGTGCGGTCACGCGAGGAGACCCTTGGCTGATGGTGAATGCCCAGGGGACCACAGGAAACACTGAAGGTTATCTTGCTGAGGCCTGCTGTTCTAGCCAGCCTCTTTATCAGTTGATTTTACACTTTTCTGCTTTAATACTTACAAATCAGAGCATAGTTGTTTTTAGATAGACATGGAGTATTTTATCATTACATAATTTACTATTTTCTTAAGAAATATTATTTAGATAAGGGAGTGGCTGTTGTCTTCCCTAGGAGAATTTTTAGCAAAAAATAATAGTAGTCTTTCACATTTCGCATCACATACCAAATTGTGCTGAGAGTGCAGCTAATCACCAATTAAACAATGTGTGCAGTTGATGATTGGCCTGTTGCTCCATATCTATAAAACATCCAGGTTTTGGAACAGGACGCAGCCTGAACACTGTAGTGCCACCTGTTGAAAGCCAACAAGGAAAAATAAAACCAGGATGCACAAAATAAAAATATGAATTATTTATAAAAAGGAAAATTCTTTATTAAAATAAGTTACTAAATTATTACTGACTTGCAAGCAGCTATTTTAAGAGTCACTTATAAATGGGGTAAAAGGAAGCTGCTGTTCTTCTTTTCATGGGCTATGTGACCAACAATAGTTCATTGAGTTAACATTCTTCATCCTTCAGATGCATCCTTGAGCATTATTAATAGTATTAATACCCGGGACATGCATAGTAATTTTATATGTAAGCTTCAGGATTCTGCTATTGTTTTCTTACTAATTTCTCTTTGGCATTGCAGGAAGGATTTGGTTTGGGTTTGTAGTTGAGATAGACGAACTATGACTTGTCGGTGTACTAGGGTGTTCTTTTTATTGCTGATACAACTTCCTCATCATCTTTGTTGCTTCAATATTTTCCTGAATAGCTTGCATTCACTGTTACAAATTATGATCAAAATTAATGTTATTAATATTAAACTAGAATTATATTAAGTGTTGCAAACTCATAGTTGTAACCAAATTCATACAGTGTACTATACTTAATCTTTATTTTCACGCAGAATAGTATAATGCTTAGCATTTGGATCAGGCAAACTAGGTGATTTTTTTTTTTTTTCCCCCTTCTCCTTTGCTTTTCCTGGCAGGGTTCCCCTTTTTCACTTTTTGTAGTACCTCAAAATGTATAAACCATTTTCCCCCCATAATGTGACTGAACATTTATTGAAAGTGCAACTTGACTTTAAAAGGCAAGTGTCAAACAACTACCCATAAAATCATATTGAGCTGAAGTCTGTCATATAAAGCACATGTCATGTGAGGGATCAAGGAGTAGAGCATGTTGTGCTGTTTATGCCTTCCTAATGGCATTTTGATTAGTTGTTAAAGTAGTATTTACACATTTTATACAAGTGAAATGTAGTTGTCTAAAGTAGTAAGAAATAAAATTATATAAACTCTGCCATAAGAGCTCCGACTGGTGTAATTACTATAGCTGTGGACTTATTACTGTAATAATTTATACTGAGGAAAAGCAAGGGAGATCACGCTCATGTTCTGTTGTTGGCTTTATATTTAGGTCTTTAAAGATGGCTCAAAGTGTGTGTGTGTGCATTAAGAAACATAAAAGCAGAGAGGAGAAATCTAAATGACTAATGGTGTGAGAGGTTTATGTATGATGAGTTACTATAAAGCTAAAGATTAGCAAGTCTGAAGAAGAGTTAGAAGGTGTTGACTAAGTATGTAGAAGTGTGAAAGCCAACCCTATTTTACTGTTTCATGTGACATGAGGACGCTATTCAAGCTCTGAAAGCACAATACATTTGGCAACAATGAAAGACATGCTTTACACATGCATGTTGCTTAACTTCTGTTTTTGAGGATTTTTAAATGACTTTTGGACTCCTGTCTTCTTGTTTCCCGGAAGTTTCTTCTCTGTATCATTGGCATGCTGCCCTTTCCTCATGACATTTCCTGAGTGCTTCTTACACCCTGAAGTTTTAGCTGTTGTCTCAGGACTGATTAAAAGATAATGCTGTGGACCCCCACTGTCTGCCAGGTAGATCAAAGTGGTTCCCCTTTACATGCAGCTCCATAGTTTGCTTAGTAGTCCAGCATGCGTGTTCCATACATATGTCTGTGTTACCCTACTTGAGAGGAAGGTGGACAGAGAACCTGCAGATTAAATTTTTGAAGGAATTTTTGTGGCTAACAATGTAGATGACTGCATGTCTGTTTTCTCCTAGCTTTAATAGGTAAATCCTAGGATAATTTTAGAAAAAATTATTTAGATAGTAGGCAACACTTGTTATTTGAGGTACAGGACAATACATTCAAGCTGTTCAGTGGTATGCTGCAAGAGATATCTGAAGTTTATTTGTTGTAAAAGCTCTGGTGTGGCACTGAAAAGGAATAATCTTGCTTTTTAATTTTATCTTTTGAGCTCTGATCAGCTATGATGATCCATATATACCAATGGAATCCTTTTTCAGATAGTGAATAAAATTACTTCCTTTATTTAAAAAGGAGATACTTGAAAGGTTTCTTCATCATTGCATGAGTCAGTTTTCAGACCTTCTTGTTTTACCAGTAATTTCACATGATATTTTTGCCTTAGACTTCAAATGAACCACAGTATTTTAAATACATCTGTATCCTGTGTGTTTCTGGCAATGGGAAAACTAGCTGAAGTCACTAAACCACTTTAAGTTTGGATTCATAACAGTTGTTACCCATCCTGTTCTGTAACCATGCCAGAACAAGTTCTTTTGAAATGCATGAGATGAAAATGCCATTCTCTTGAAGAGGAAGCACCTTTCACTTTGTAGGGTTGTCTCAGACCAGGGGTTGCATTATCCTCTTAATGCACTTGCATAACTCCCATTAACATTAATAGAAATTACATGCACTCCCTGTGAGGTGAATGTACACTTTTGTTGAAATGAGTGATCTATTGTGACAGATTTTCTAGTGACATTAAATCAAATTTAGTTTCCTATACTAATGTCACTAACACTAGTCTTAGTATCTTTTGATGCTTGTAGTTTATATTAATGAAATTGTAGCTTTGTATTAGGTCATGTGTTTCTTAAAATGGAAAATCCCATTTTCAGTCCTCTAGAAATACAGGGAGATAGTAAATTTTCTTCTTCAATGTGAACCACTGGTATAGCAAATGTAGGATTTTCTTTGGCTTTGTAGCTATTGCTTGTAGTCCCTTTAGAGGTAGTTTATAGAGGTTGCAGGTAGCAAACTCTTGGCCTGTGGTTAGGGCAGAGGGATGCTGGCTTCCACGTTCTGTTTGTGGCCTGAAAGGCTGTTTGACTCTGGGTGACTCAACTGCCTTTAGACATTAATTCATGTCTAAAATGTGCAGAATCAGAACATCCTGGCTCACAGGTGTTTTGTGAAATTATCTGTGAATTGTTTCATTGTGAGTTGACAGTTGCTAGCAAAATGTCAAATGTTATCTCGGAAAGCAGTGAAATAATTTTATCACAATGTTAGTGAGATGTAGGTCCTGTTTTATGCACATCATGTGGTTCTATGATTAGCGTAACTCCCTGTTAGGCAGTGGTTTATTTATTCCAATACAGTTGTGCTGATGCAGCCCCTAGTGTGAACACTGTAGTAGTGAAATACAGTGTTTCTCTATTGCTCATTCCTGTCCATACAGGAGCACACTTGGTACCTTAGCAGTGACATCCTTGTGTTTGGAGGAAGTGTGTGCCATTTCACAGTACAGTATCATATAGCAGGTTGTTTAATACCCCAAGATGTTTATTTAGGATCTGTCTATGCACGGCCAAGAACAGAGCCAGCAGTGAAAAATTGCTCAAGAGTGTTAGCCTTCTCCAGCAAAGTCCAGATGAGGTCACTGGGGACAATACTTGTTTTAAAGCAAAAGTCCTAATAAATCATAGATTGAACAGAATATTAGATGTAATAAGAAGTGTCAGGAAATTCTGGGCTGCATGTCTTGACACTATCAGCATGGGAATGCCAGAAGAAAATGTTTCATTCTTATGTTGTTGTTTTGTTTTTTTTTTTTTTTAACATGTTAATCTGCTAGTATCTTTGAAAGATACTTTTAAAATACTTTTTGAAAATACTTTTTTTAAGATACTTTTTAAAAGAGGTCTTTAAAGTGTCCAGTGATTAACTTACCGATTTAGATAGTTGGCCAGACAAGATCCAGGAGTAAAATGTAACTGGTTGCAAAAGTGTAGACAGCACCTTTTGTGAACGGTCCTTACCTTTGTTAAGCTTTTCTAAATTACTAATGAATTTCAACTGCACCAGTGGAACGGCATCTGTGGTAGCATGTCCTTTTAGAAGTCTTTAGGCTCACCCTCACAAGTGTGTCGGGCAGGGTCCAGGGCAGACGCAGGCCTTCAGCCCCTTTGGAGTCTGCCACTTCTGTCCTCCGCCGCACAGCGCTGGGGGTGAGGGGGTAGCTGCTGCGTGGGGCTGGCAGCGCTGGCGATAGGGGTCAAGAAGAGCACAGACTACGAGGGGCAATTAAATTGCCCTTCTTCCGCCTGCCATGGACTACCCCCATTGCTTATAAAGGCCCCGTGCACCAGCCGGGAACTCGGCATCGGACCTTCTTTGGAGCGGGGCTGGCTCTGGGACCTTCCCGGTCTCGTCGTGCGCGCCGGAGTGCGGGGCTACGCCATCGTCTTCACTGCGGTGCTGCCGCTGGACTTTGAACAAGCCCGGGGCTGGTGGGACAAGTTTCCTCCCTGCGCGCTGCTGGGCATTGCGCAAACTCGGGAGGAGGATCCTCGAGGTAAATGAACATTTTAAACGGGAAGAGGAGAAGAAGGGAGAGGAGGAAGAAGAGGCGGGGGCAGCACCCGCCCGAGCGCTTCCTCTAAACGCTTCTTCTGGAAACGGGATTCGGCTGCTGCCCGGCACCGCGGCCGGAGGATGCGCTTCCCCGCGCCGCCGGGCCCCGGGCTCCGCGGGCGGGCGGCACCCGTCCTGGCCTGGCACGGCTGAACACCGGCTCCGCGGGTAAGTGGGAACTGCTAGACGGAAGGTCCGGAGTCGCCGCCCCGCCTCGCGAGCTAGGCACGGCGGGGCGGCCGTGCCGCTTGTGCGGCTGCTGGCCACAGAGCAGGCTGCCATGGCGGGGAAGCTGGGCGGCGCGTCTGAGGTAACTGTACAGGGACCGGCTGGGGCTGGAAGTTGAGCGAGGGGGCCCAGGGCGCGGGCGGGGACTGGAGGCGGTGTGGTCCCAGCGGCCTCGGCCGGCCGTGCTGGAAGCTGCACGGAGCTCCCCGCCCTGCTGCGGCCCTGCCGGCCCGGCCCGGCCAGTCGGCGCTCGCCGGCTGCCGCCGGGGGCTGCGGAGCGGCCGGGGCCGTCGTGCCGCCCCTTCGGAAGGGGAGAGCGCCCGGGCGGCCGCAGGGGGGTTCCGAGGGTGCGGGCTGAGGGAGCCGCGCCGCGCCGGGGCTGTGCGGAAAACAGCTCCCAAAAGACAATTGATACCGTAGTGCTCAGCTTCACGTTTGGCACATCACTGGACCGATCCGGGCAGTGTGTATATCTGAACGCCTCTGTGTGATTGCAGCTGCGTAAACACAGGGAGATTTCCTCCTCCCTCCCCCCGATATAGCTACAAGAAATGTGTTTATTTGGTAGGACGTGTCTGTGTAATGATACCTCGTTTTGCTTGCTTTTTCTATCTTGAAGAACTTGCACTCATTCCCTTATAGTATTTTCAAAACTGTAAGTCTGTGGTTTTTACTGTACTTAATACAAGTTAATATAATTATCATTAAAGTCAAAGACTGCATCTATTATGTATAAATATGTGATGATAATAGGTAAAATATCAAAATAATTCTTCATTTCTTTCAAGTTGTTGTTGGATGTTGCATATGGTGCAGAAAAATGTGTTTATTATTCTGTATTTGGGAGATCCAAATAGCATTTTAATCTATCAGAGGACTGATTAATTCTCTGTGTGTCACTGGGAAACTCAAGCAGCGGGTGGAAAGAAAGTAGATTGAGGTGCTTAGAGCATTTCTTAAAATATCAAGTCCTAGGGAAATTTATAGCTTGTTTACAATTCTGTTTTATTTAAAATAAAGTTACAAAATATGAATGAGATTTTGTAATGTGACCAAGCTTCTCTGTGATAAGTTATTTGTTTTTGTCTAGTGTTCACCAGCATAAGGCAAGAAAGTCAGAAGAATCTATCTGAATAGTACTTCAGTGACTGTAAATCAGCACAACTGTAATCTTCAGGAGTCACATTTAGCACTGGGGATTTGATTTTTGTACTTTCTCATAAATTTTGACCACCTGGGGGGAAAAAAATCAGAAATTAGAAAACTATAAGCAAATGCAGCATGTTGTTAGATTACAGCAGTAATGTTGATACTAGTATTCCCCTGGGAACCTTGTTAGATTGCAAACAAGATTCTTCCCAATCCACATAGGAAAATGCATTATCTCTTGCAAACACAATATAATGGTTTGAAGTAATAGGTGACAGCTTTATTGAGAGAAGACCTAGCATAACCAAAGCTCAATGGAAAAGAGTGACTCCAGTTAAAAGAACAGCAGCACAGCTGAATCCATTTAACTGGCAGAGTGGATTTGATGGGGTTGGTTGCTAGGGAATGTCTCCAGCACCATGTATTTCAAGGAATTTAAATGCTGGACGAATGACACAGCTAGGCCTGCTTAAATTATCTTCCTGGTATTGGCTCCAGCCATTGGGAGCAGGTGTGTGTTGCTTCTTTCTAGCCAGTTTTCCCTTAATGTGCAGTTCCACTATGTGGCTCACATGCAGTTACCCTGTTCTGTGGTGGCTGCTGAGCAAGTTGAACTTGTCATACCAATTCTGTATTTAGTGTTTCATAGTATACTTTTTTGTGGATAAAAGGAAAACAAGCTAAAACAAATAAAACCCCAAACCATTTAACGCAAACATTACTAGAAGCAGTAATTTATAGAAGTAGACTTGAAGGAGACATATATTTGTTATAGAGTTACAGGAAGAGTCAGATGTTATTCTTGGTTATGTTGTAATAACTGAATTACCTGACATCGGTGAAGTTGCACAGAGCTTATGTGGGGGACAGTTGCACTGGGACTTGCATTAGTGAGTTTGGGAGCACCAGTCTATGCAAGCTACTGTCAGTTACTAATTTTGCACACATGGGGCCTCTTACATCTGTGCCAAGCAATAATAATCAATAGCATGTTAAAAATACCATCTGGGATAGAACTGATGTCAGTTATCTCTGTGCATTCTGCTGCTGTAGAACTGACATTAATTACTGAGGGCAGTGTTATAAAGAAGTCTTTCCTTGCTACTGGAAACAGCCCTTTGCTGACTTCTTTTACAATTGGAGTGTGGATGTCTGGCTTTATCTCTTCAACATATATAATGCGAGTTAGTGTAACATTTTGTGTTGCCACAAAGGAGAAAGTAAGAGGATCAGATTTCCTCAAAAGCAACCTTCTAAGAAGTTTTATAGCCTTAAGAAAGCTCAGCTAGATGCCCCGTCTGAAGAAGATTTCATAAGTTTCTGATTGCACTTTCCTAAATATAAAAGATGAGTGACTAGATTTTTCAAGTTTGTATGTGTAATGTGGAAGAAAATAAGACGCATACCTAATTCTCATGAGAGCCACTACAGATTAAGCATCTTTAATACTGGAGGATGGCCTTCAGAGGCACAGACAGCAGTGGACTATCTGTACCACTCAGAGCAAAATTACATTTTGGAGAGGGGGCTATATTAAAAGTGCTGTATTAAAAGATTGGGGCACTGCTGTGGAACTGTTCTGGCTTTATCTGTAAATTGCAGATTAACCTTGTTGACAGAAATGGGAAAAGAACTGTTAATAGAAGCTTTGTCATGTTTCTTCCTGGAAGCTCGCTGAAGACTAGGGGTTAAAAAAACCAATCTGTATTTGGCCACAGGCAATCCTTGTGGGACACTCTTGCTATTCTGTTGCTAATGTGTTGCTATTCTGATAACTACTTAAAGCTAGCTTTTGGATTGTAGTGCATATATCCTGTTAATTATGGCATGTATATCTTGTGAAAATATACTTTTAAGAAATAGGTTATTTTCTAAAATTGCCTTGATTTTCTTACCTACTTATTTGTATGACTTTTGCACATAATTACGTACTTTGAGTTGATTCCCGGAACTACTTACCCGGATAACAATGGGAACATAACACATCACAATGGTGAAAAATATTCATTGTGTGGAAGTGAGATAACAGGTTTGGTGGAAGATGCCTGTTGTACCTGACATGAAATTCTCCCTTTCACTTGCAGTATCTTTTCAGAGATTGCTAATTCTTTTAACCACAAATATACAAGTGTGGATAAAATAGCTATGGGAGAACAGTTTATGAGCATCCCCAAATGTCTTAAGTATTTCACAGAGAGCTAAGCAGATTTCTGAGCTGGGAACAAAGTGTGAGGAAATGACTGGCTAAGGGGAGAGAGGCAATGAGGTTGTGAGGTTACATCCATGTATTTGTTTTAAAGATGAGAAAAATGTAAATGCACTGACTGTTAAATACACAACACTGTAGTGAAGGTAATTCTGACCAGATATAGCAAGAATGGACAGCCTTCCAAATACCGCAACAAAATTAGTAAATGCTTTTATTTTGAGAAGCTGTTGGCTAGTATAGAGTGAAGAAAACCCACATGAACTTCCAGACCTTCAGAAACATAATGAAAACATCTATAGTGTCAGTTTATTTTGTTTTAACAAAAGTACATCTGTAGTACTTTCTGAAGAGCAGAAGGCATTTCTCTACCTCCTCCCTCAAAAAGTTTGTTTCTGAGAATATGTGCCTGCTAAGCAAACGTTCTTTCTACCCTCCTCTGTTGAAACAGACACAGGTTTCTTCACAAGCTGCTTTGTCTATTCTAGACAGTAGCAACATATTGACTCTGATGTTATTCTTCCCAGTTATACTGCTGTAGATGGAATTCTTAATACAAGGAATGAAAATTGATTGGACAGTGGTTTTTTTGCTATAGCCTGGCATATTTCTTAGCAGCAGCAGATACTGAAGCTGCATCTGTAAAATTTAAAAGCTCTTGCCCTGCCCATTGGAACAAGTGCTGGGATACCTAAATAAATTTTTAGTTTCTAGGAAAAAAACTTAACCTACCTGTGAAAGCCACTGGACAGGCTAGTAAGAAAGGAGGATTTTTCATTTCCTCAAAACCCTGTCAGTGTGCAAATTTGAAAAGTACCCTTAATAAATATTCTATGTTAGTATAGCAATGTATCTGTTGCCTTATGTGAAAATTCAATATACATTTCTTATGTGAGCATAGAAACTGATTATAATTTTTCAGACCAGTGGTTTTGTTATTGTGTTAAAACTTTGATTAAGGAAGTTTATCTCAAAGAGCAATTGCTGACAGATATGAAGTAATAATGTGGATATGAAATAATCTGTTGGAGTAAAAATTGTTTTTGGTAGGGAAATAGCCAACATATTTCTTAGGGTAAAACATATTGTGCTGTGCTCTTTCTATTCTGACAATTCTGGGCTTTAGAAAAATCAGAGAATCTCTTGCATAATTTTTAATTGATTTTTCTTCTTGTACAAAAGGTCATTGGCACCAGTCCAGAAATAGGCAGGGAGCAAGTAGGAAATTCATAATAAACTGACTCATTGATTGCTAAATTTGACAAAATAATTAGTACTTGATATTTTCAGTGCATTTTCATGTTGTTATTTTGACTTCTGAAAGCAAGAGAAGATCCCTTTATTTCAGAAGATGACTGAGCAAAGCTGTGATTTCAAAGATTTTTTAGCATGCTAATTCATTTCCTGTAATTTCCTTGTAGGAATTGCTAAGAATTTTTCATTGCCTCATTAATAGGAATAGTACAAGTTAGATGTGCTCTGTTTTGCAATCAGGTCAATTTTGGGGCATATGCTCTGTTTTGCAATCCAGTCATAGGCAGTGCAAGTCACTTTGGTGTATCCATTCCCAAACATTAGCAGTAATGGGTTTTCAAATGTGTTCATTATTAATAAGGGTATTTTTAAAAAGTGTATAATCTTGGAAGCCAACAGAAATGCTAAAGGGATCTTGCGCTAACATCAAAGCTGTAGTAGACTTCAAACAATATCATAACATAGTTCCAAGATCAGGGCAGCTTTGCTCTTTAATGGAATTTGTAAGATAAATCAGTATATAATAAATCTTCTGCCTGAGTGTTCTCTGACTTTGCAAATATGTTGTTAGCTCAGTAAATTTTACTACAGTCTTGTTTAAAAATTATGATAGGTAAAGGATTTTTTCTCTTCAACAAATGTATTTTTGATGTAAACAAAAATGTCATCTGTAAACAGATCACTAAGGAAGAAGAAAGAAGATGATTGCTATTTATATGTATGAAAGCAAAAGAATTTGAAATCCTGCTAAATCCTTGAGCTTGCTGCCAGATCTGAGCTTTGAGTGAAATTTTGTTGCCTACATCGGTAACACCTTATGAATTTAATTTTTTCAAGTCTCTGCTTCTAGCTGGCGCTAGAAAAATAAGTGTTTGCTTTGGGAGTTTGGTTAGTTTTTTTCTTAGGAGTTAAGATTATTTCAAGTACATTGCTTTTTACTTCTTTGGAGGGAACCTGGCTGTTCCTTGATGGGTACAGAGGGGTGAAAATATAGATAAATACTTGTTTCCCTCTCCCTTATAGGAGACCTGCAAAGAAAAAGAAATAGAAGTCGTTAATCTACCTTGTTCAGAGAGAACGTTAAATCCACACAACATGGCACAGCATAGTATTATCCTTGGATTATTCATGATGACTGTTTTATCACTGTTGGATGGAAGTTCAACTTTCCTGTTAAATCAACGTCTGAAGGGAAGATTTCAAAGAGACCGTAGAAACATCCGCCCAAACATCATCCTTGTTCTTACTGATGATCAGGATGTAGAACTTGGTAAGAGCTCAGTATAAAGAGAATTTTGGCCAATGTGTATGACATTGCTCTTTCTTGAAGCTGGATTCTTACATTCAAAATACAAATTTTTTTTCAGTGTGAAAAATGATAAGAACAAGTGTATACCTGCCTTTATATAGAACATCCTTTCCATCTGCCTGCAATTCAGGGACAGCAAAAATTAGTCCCAAAATGTTAAAGTTCCTGTTCCTGTGGAAATACACAGTTCATGCCTGTCTTCATCTAAACACCTAAACTTTGCTTCTGGCAATTACAGGCATAACTTGGGAAGCTGCATGCCAAAACAGTAGGTTTAAATTCATAACTGATAATTGCACCATGTAATTATCCAGATTCTTTTGTGTAATTGCAGGCATTCATTACATATACAATTTTCATGTTATTTAATTTAATGTTACCTAACACAGTCATACTATTCTTGTAATTGTCCATTAAGATGTGTAGTTGATTACTGACCAAAATGACACAGAATGAAAATATCTACTCTGTTATCAATGCTATGTTAATTGTTGAAGAAAGGAGATGAAGATTAAACACATGCTTTGCCTAATGATTTGGAACAATGAATTAGCCTACAGTTTGGCTTTTGTTGTGCTACCTGAACAAGCTTATATTTACCAACTGCTGTCTTTAGTTTTGAGAAGTGTTTAACGCAAACAAGTTAACATTAATAATTTTGCATTAGAATTATGCTCTCATATGTATATGAAGCCTCAGTCATCTGAAAAGTGAGAACTCTTGTATGTGTCATCTGGTGTGGGAGTTTTGCCCCCAAATTTTTCTACATCTGATTTCTAGTATTGGTAGGAAAATTTGGAAGACAGACCTCACAAAAGAAATAGAACATAAAATTAATCAACTTGTACCTCTTGTGCACTTACTCATCTTGTTGAGAAGTTAATCACAGCAATGTTGCGGTCTTTGTACAGATGCTTCCTTTGTATCAATTTTACTGTATGTCTGCAGTATCATAGATGTCTCATTCTTCTTCAAAGTGGTAAGAAGTAATGGAAGTCATCTCATCAAATTAAATGATATTCAAATTATCAGGATCAGATGATGTTGTTGTCACCTTTTTTAAATGATTATTTGGATCAGAAATGAAGCAATTTCAAGAATCTATATCCCAAAGAACCTAAGTACATTTTCTTGCAGGCTTGGATTGTGGTCCTAAAAAATGTATCATCTTCTATTTTATGCTAGCCTTTGTGTTTCATTCCTCTGCTAACTTGATGCTTTCCAATTTCAAGGGTAATGGGCATGTGTCCACACAAATTAGAATCTAACTAAGGAAAATCCATTTGATGAAGCTGAGATTAGGTATTCGTCTTTTGCCATTAATGGCTTTGGGAGATGCAGTATTTGTTTGAATTAATTTTTATTCTTGTCTGTTCAGCTGTCCAAGTTCAGCAAAATTTCCAATTGGGGTGATTGTAGTTAGTGCATTTAAGACAGATTAAAACAAGATGTGAATTACAAATAAAAGCTAAGGAAAAGTTGGAAGCTGTGAAAGCATAGCAGGGAAAGCTGTGGGTAAGATTTCATCTGTTTCTAAGAATATTCTGTAACTGATGGGTGTTTTAGCTTTCATTGTTCTCTTGTAGCTACTTTGGAGGTGAAAGGGAATAGAATGCAATCCCAAGTGCCTTTAACAGCCTTTCCTTTATTTATTTAAAGATAGATTTAGCGATGTGCCGGTAGCAGGTGGAGCTTACCAGAAAGACAACGTTGTCCTTTCCTGAAAGGAGATTGTGGTGGTTTTTTTTGTTTTGATTTTTTGTGGGTTTTTTTTTTTTTTNTTTTTTTTTTTTTTTTTGGTTTTGGTTTGGTTTTTTAATTTGCAGTACTGTTAATCATGAGTTTTACTGGAAACCAAACCTCAGCCTTATATTGAAAGAAGGAGAATACTGATGAAGGGCTGGTAGATCAAATACAGAATCTCTGAAGGACATCAAAGGAGAATGAGTGTAGATTGTAATGGATACAAATGGGAGAAGACAAATGAAAATGCCAGGAACTGTGAACATAGACATATTTGATAGACTGTCTAATCAAAATACTTGTATTGACAAGCATAGTATAAAGAAGAATATAGTGACAAGGAGTAATTAATTAGAAACAAAGACTTTTTTTCCCTACTAGAGCCATGTACATCCGAGGTAGTATAACACTGATGTCCCCTTTGTGGTGGACTCAGTATCTCCAGTTGAGTTAGATTTGCCTACCATACTGCTATGGCTTTAACAAACCAGCTCATTTCATAGTCTAGCTGGAGAAAGATCTGATTATTTAGGATCTATTTCAACCACATTAAAGAAATCTGTGTTAGAGGTGATTTGTATGTTTTGAGACCTTCCTCTGAAAAGCTACAAAAGTAGCACGGAAGATAATTTTTTCTTAGTTATCGTATGTGGAGATGGGGTTTTAGAGCTTTGTTAAATGTAAGGGTGTCTTGGGGAGGGAAATGAAGAAAGGGAAATGAAGATGTGGAAAGGGTGTCTAATGAGTTTTAAATACAATAAAAAGAGAAGTCTTTAGGAGACAGTTAATTAAAATTCTGGGTTTCAGTTTATTGGAAAACACTTCTGAAGTTGTGCTTCAGAATAGACAAATCACTTGATACTTAATACAAGTTCTTCAACAGTTGGAGCTCCATAAAATGTAAATTATTCCCTCCTTCAACAAAACATAACTAATACAAAGTCAGTATTTTTTCTTAAATAATTTGCATATTTTCTCCATAAATATTATAGTAAAAATATCAGCTTTGTCCCTGAGGTGAACTGTGAAGATAAGCTAAACAAAGTTATGGAAAGCACATATTTCAAGTGACATTTTAACATCAAGTTCGCTTAGCTTTGTTCACTGAGTAACTTTAACACTTCAAATTGATTGAACATCCATATTTTCATTTCCCATTTTCATAGTAGTCCAATGAAAATTTTCTTAAAATGGCATAGGAATTTCACTTTCAACTGATAGATTTTTGTTTATTATCGGTGGTTTTTAGATGGGTAGCAACATTTTCTGAATTAAATATTGACACTTTGAAATAATGACTTCCTGTCATATATCCACTGGTGAAACCTCAGAAGGTTTTCTAGCTCAGAAGGTGATGTGGTGAAGTCCCAGTTGCTGATTTATACATAAGTTATCTGCCAGAGAATGGATGTCTGTGTATTGGAGGAAAACTGAAGAAAATAAGTTTTAGTTGGCTGGTTTAATGCTGTCTAAAATATTTAGAGCTGGCCTATTTAAGATTATACAGAAGAGTATGCTGGATTTTTACCTTGCACTGCCCTGTCACTCTGTATTAGTTCTCAAACTGGAGAAGCAGATTAGATCATATGTTTTTTGTGTCAAAGACTGTTGATATATAGGGCGTTGTCATTACAGCAATACAGCTTCTTTTATTAAAGAAGCTTACTGTCCCCAAGGGGAGTCTTAACATGTACTGTTATTTATGCATAAATGCCTCTGTCATTTAAAGGGGTTGTTAAATTTTATTTTAATATCGGGATGGCAAAACATTTTTTCAGACTTCCTGTTTATGCTTGGGCTAGCTCATAAGACAACACAGAGGACACATCCACAGTTTTCAAACTCACATATTGTATAATTAGCTGTTATATTTGTTAACTGTAGTCAATACCTTTAAGCACTAACACTTAACCCACATCTGTTATAGAAACAAAAAAATAAAATCTTGCTTTCTTCAGAAACTTATTTTGGATATGTGAAGTTTAGCAAGTTCTAAGGGGGCAGTGCAACAACCTGCCTTGGTTTTTGTCACAAAGTGATGTGACATATGCTCTGACCTGAGAAATGCACAAAGAGATTTTTTTTTTGTTTGTTTGTTTTTTTTAATACTAATTCAAACAAAATGGTCTCAAACTAATGCAATGGCAGTTCTTAGGTAAAATGACCTACCATAGCAATTAATCTTCCTTTGTGGTGCCAGAGAGTCAGATTTTCTATGTGGCTTAGGACCATTTTCCCCTCTAGGTTTTGACTCCTGGTTATATCAATGTGCTCTGTATCAACCAACTTACTGTTGCAATTTCATGATGAAATCCCTGCATAAAGAGCTTAGAAGAAACCCAAATCCATTATTGACAGAAACAATGTAGTTTGTGCCAGATGGTTGTAGGATGCAACCATCAGCTTTGATTAAAGATGAGCTGTTAATCCAGCTCAGCCTTGGGCAAGTTAACCTCAACCCTATTCTAGCATGAGCCCATACCTTCCTCTCCATGTTGTCAACTGGCTTTCCATGCTCATAACAAAAACCCTCGTTGGTGATGAACGGGTTTTATCTCCTCTGCAAGGTCATGCTGTTGATATGTACCATGAAAAATTCTTTAGAAAATTGAAATTCTTCCTAGATCAAGAAAATTTTCCCTAACTTGCTCAGTTTTAACTACTAGGCACTGATAGAGGAGGGAAACTAAATTTTTTGTTTCTCTGATCCTTGGTGTTTCTGGGTTTAGGAAGAGTGCTGATATGGATCCAGATATAGCTAGGTGGATGTCTATGGTAAAGATCCAGTCTTTGAACAAAACCTTGTCTTAAATAGAAAAAAACATTTGGCAGCACTGTAGCATTCAGTAATTGTGGCCAAAAATACTTTTGTTCATGTAACCCCAATTTATCCAAGTCCCTTGCTTATTTGTTTTGTTATATAAAACACTGTGTTTCCTGCCCCAAGTAGTCATCTAAAAATCTGATTCTGCAGAATCAAGCTTAAGAAAATGTAGATGGTAATATTGTTACCAGAATGGATGAAGCACATAGCTAGAACTCAGTGAACTTGTTATGGAAATTATTATGGGAGCTTTTTGGTGTCTGGTTCAGTGACAATTAGAAAAAGCAATACCTCCTAATACCTCACATTAGGGAATAGAATGATTTAACTACACAACAACTCCAGCAGACCTTTCTTGAGCAGTAGTTTGGACTAAATAGTCTTCCAAATGAAATGATTCCGTGTTTAGAACCCTCAGCCTTTTGCATGAGGCTGGCACAAAAGGTAGCATATCAGGTCTCTTGTGAAACCAAAGATTAAATAACTCTTATGAGTACATATGCTTTAATCAGGGTTGCTGCATAAAGTGCTTTTCATCCTCAGCTACTGGAACAGTACTAGCAGCTCCAGAAAGGATGTAGAGATGCTGCAGATAGTTAACAGTTGCAAATCTCTCTAGCAAGAGAGAAGTGAAAGAAGCATTATGATCTATGTCAACATGCTTGAGTCAAATCTTTACTTAGGACTTCAGTATTTAGTCCTTACTGAAATGATGGGAGAGCTTCACTGAGGCAGGACCAGTAATCTCTCTGGATTTGGGTTCACTCAGAGATAACAGTGCCCTTACTACTTGTGCTTCCTTCTTGTCTCTTAATGTGGCATCTGAACTCTTGTGATTGAAACAAGAAAATATTTCTGAAATGTCTTCCTTCTTTCAGGTTCTATGCAAGTGATGAATAAAACAAGACGTATCATGGAACACGGAGGTGCTCATTTCATCAATGCCTTTGTGACAACACCCATGTGCTGCCCATCTCGCTCCTCTATCCTGACAGGGAAGTACGTCCACAACCACAACACTTACACTAACAATGAGAACTGTTCTTCTCCATCCTGGCAGGCTCAGCATGAAATACGCACCTTTGCAGTGTACCTCAACAATACAGGGTACAGGACAGGTAAGATCCAGGCTGGATCCATCTGAAAGCTTCTTTAGACTTACCTTAGACTTAGTACAAAGGCTAATGTATATATTTTAATTCTATTTTCTTCTTGACTGCAGCAGTGCATAATGCCAGAGCTTAAGTCTTGGTGTTGGTTTAGCTTTCTTGTATTTTTACTTAAGGAATTTTTTGTTTACAAACAACCAATAAAAATACCAAGACTTTGTTTTTCAGAAAGTGGGAATAAAATACTGTGTATGCTTGAGCTGAAGACGTAGCAAACCTAGAATATGGCCTACAGTTACCTGAAGTATGCAGAACAACCAAGAAAGGTGCTATGAAAAGGAATTAGTGTTTTGACTTTTTTCATAAAACTGATATATTAAGCAAATTAAGAATGAGACAGAAGGGACTGCTCCTTTTGTGCTTTGGGGCAGTCAGCTGTTATGATTTCTCTAGACATTCAATTCCCAGAAAGGTGTTTAGGAATAATTGGAAAGATGAAATGTAGTCTTGAGAAGCATGCATGCTTCTTGGGAACAAATATCGTGTAGGAAGGATTTCAGAAAACATGTAGCATATTTCCCTCTTAATTCCATTTTGCTTCCCCCCAGCATCAGATTTAGGTAACCCTATTAAGTTAAATGAACATATTTACAAAGGGAAAAGCTGCTGCTTATATGGTAATGTTTTGGTATCTTTTTGTGCTGCTTGGCCCATACTTGAATTATACAAAGAATTAATAAAATGCGCATTCTCACCAATCGTGTATTTTGAACCTGGAGAAAAGTGGTTGTAGAAGGTCCATCTCTGCCATTATAAAATATTTAATTGGAATAAAGATCTACCCTCCAGTGTCCTAGTCACTCTGCCATATTGCACTTCTCTGTCATGTTATCTACATATAAAGAAAACAGATTATCCAAATCAGAGTAACATCCTGCTTGCAGAACATACAGCTTTTGCAGTTGAAGAAGGACTGCAGGCCATTGTTAAAAATAATAACCAAGTGATGTAGAAGTTAGACTTAATTTTTAGAAGTGATTTGCTCAACTAGGAGCTGAAGTGTTGTGATACCTCCAGATCTCAGAGACTTACAAAACTGGGTATCAGGTTTCTGGATTTTTGTCTAGAAGGTAAGTTAGTTTCCATAGATCCTCTGTTCTCTATATAGAAATACTGTCTTAGCAGGCACTGTCATCCATTAGTTAGTTTGAGAGTATCAGTGTTGTGGTTTGGAATGGGAGAAAAATCTGGGGAAGTGATGCAAAGCTTTTTGTGTAACTGACAGTCGGTTGAACCCCTGCCCAACTGGACGCGCCTCAGTGGAAGACACACATTAAAGACGAAAAAACCCGGGAACTCTCTTTCCTTCCGGTCGGTGAGGAGGTGGCGGGCCCCGGCCCCCCCTCCCCGCCCCGTCTCAGCCAGGCCGGTCCGGGCGGTCCTGCTGCGGGCCGGGCCCCTTCCTCACTCCTCGGGCCGTCCGCCGGCCCCCGTCGGCTCCGGCCGGGCCCCAGCAGCTGCCGGGCGGGAAGGCGGGGCACGCTGCGGAGCCCTGGCC